GTACCAGCTACTACTTATTCTCTTATTTTGGGAAATGATTGGTCTCGCAAGGTAGAAGCCCAATATGATTGGAAAACTAAAGAGTATATCATGCATTAGAATAGTTATCGTATTATTGTACCTACTACTTATAAGTATAACCAGGCTGCAGAAGGTCAACCCATAGTTAGTAAAGTAAATGATGATTAGGAAGAAGAGTATGAAGATGAAGAATTAACTCCTTATGAAGCATATAACTTGGAAGCAGAACTTGTTAATGCAGAAGACTTAGGATGGACTGTATACCAACGAAAAACTAGGCCTTCTCGCAAGAAAAAGCAAGGATATAGAACATGTGAACAAACTGATCATTATTTTGAGGATTGCTTTTTTAATAAATATTAGTGATGTAATGATTATAGATATATTGCTGCTCAATGTCTTTACCAAAAACCTAAACGAACTACCTGTGCTACTTGTGGTCAATCTAATCATCGGTTTAAAGATTGTTTTGAAAATGAATATAGAAGATGTGAATAAAGAGGTCATATTAGTACTGATTGCCCCAGAAACAAACTTGAAATAGAAAATAAAAAGTATTAATGTGGTTGTAATGAACAAAAAGTTACTAACTGAAGAGCATATTTTCATAGCAAGAAGAGGAAACATCATTGCTGTCAATGCAAGTATCCTTAATTTGATAATGAATTGATGCTACTAGAAGAGACTCTAGTCTGCAAAGCATACTATAAGGACTATTATGAAAATTTAAATTGAGAAGATCCTAAAAGCCAGTATTACTATGAACATAAATTAGAAAGAGGAACCTTGGTTAAATGTACTATGTGTAAGAAGGAAAATCCTAAACACAATATGCATAATCTACCAAATGGAACTTGGTTCTGTAGCTTCGAGTATATGTATGCTTATAAAGCTAGTGAAGATGTTAAATATAACCCTAACTATAACCTGTGAACTAGAATTAGACACTATACTGAGTCTAACAAAAGTGCTGAAAGTTACTATGACATGAATCAGGATAATATTTATTGCTTAGCTCAAACTCTGCTAGGTATCACATCTCAGAGTATTGCTCAAGCAGAGGAAAAGCAAGAAACAGACAAATATAATAGAGAATTTACTAGTGAGGAATTAACTCTTCTTTTCCATGTTGGTGAAGTACAATTAACTACTGAAGAAGAACAACAATTAAATCAAATCTTGGCTAAGTCTTTTGATATATCATATACTGATTTTGACCATTAGCAAGCCATTGCTAATTTGCGTACTAATTTTGAAAGCAAAGTAGCTTTATGCTCAGATTGCTTGTTTGCTAAACATGTATCTGAGCTGGAGCTCAATCAAGGCCTCTGTAATGAATGTTATCAGGAGC